GACTCAATCACTTTTCCTGTTAATGTTTAATTATCAGAATCATTTTGAGGAAGATAAACAGTTTCATAAGTCTGACCTCTACTGACATAATAAGCTATAAATATTAAAGACATGGATTTGAGGTAGATAAACAATTAATGACTTTGTGAAACAGCAGCACAGAAAATAATATCGAAACCAAGGGCAACTTAACTTGTTCTGTAGTTTTTGATCACATCACATTTTCTTTGTTCAGTTCTCAAACTTCTCATCTAATTTCAGACTTCTGGTCAATTGATCAACCTTTTATGTGGAAATTCATTGGGAAATAATTGCTTTTACAAAAAACAATTTCGATTTTTTGGCAGATAAATACAATGTGAGTGCAATTTCTTTGTAGTATGCTGCCCTCTCGTGGCTTGTAGGGCACTGACTGGGATTTTACAAAGTCAATAACCTAAGTAGAGAGCAGTCCAAGACAAGAATTTATCAGTTATATTATAGAAACATTGTTTTTTCACACCCCTGGGTGTTACTAACATGTCTTCACTTATTGTACCAAAATGTAAATTTACATTTACAACAACAATTCTAATTATATTATTTCAGTTGTAAACCGATGAACCTTACTGATGTTTAAAACAAAAACAAAAAACATCAAACAAATTAGAACAATCTTCCAAAACTATTTCAGCTTTGAGCATTTTCCAAAACAGACATTGCTCACATGGTGGTGATATTACTGCACAATTGTAAGCATATAAAAGAGTGACACAAGGAAGGTGCAGCCAGTGCCGGTCTTTCTCATGCACTTCCCCCAAGCACATCTAACTCAAGTGTTGTCCCTAATGTTACTCCCGAGGGCAGCCAGCACATGTAACATTGTTTTTGTTTTAAATATCCGTAAGGTTCATTGGTTTACAATTGAAATAATATAATTATAGTTGTTGTTGTACATTTTGGTACAATAAGTGAAGACATGTTAGTAACACCCAGGGGTTTGAAAAACCAATGTTTCTACAATAAAACTGACAAATTCTTGTCTCGGACTGCTCTCTCTGCTCTGAATGTCTAACATGTGTTATGATTCAGTGCAATATATTTTGAAGTAGCCTAGTAGTTGTATCATTGTCTGTTTGAAGTAAAAAACTGACTGTCAAATAAAATAAAGAACGTACAATTCAATAGTATTTCAGGCTTTAAACACAGTCTAAATGATGCCGTTTTGAGTCGAATTTGAATGTCGGGACTTACACACATTTGAATGACCCCACAGGAGCCAAATAGAGGCATTTTCTGTTTTTTTTCTGATGTTTTCTCATGATGATCATTGACTGATCATTCTGATGTTTCTGGCCCACATTCAGAGTACAATACCAAACATAAGTACCTCGGACACCATCTCTGCAGCCCTTTACATAGCCCTCTCCGTTCTGGAAAACAGAGACACCTACAACAGGATGCTCTTCATTGACTACAGCTCTGCTTTCAGTCATCCTTACAAAACAATCTTCCAAAACTATTTCAGCCTCAAGCATTTTCCAAAACACACATGACCTACATGATCAAAACCAGTTCCCAGTGTTGACATTACTACACAAATGTTAGCATATAAAAGAGTGACACGAGGAAGGTGCAGCTAGTGCAGTGCACTCTTAAAATAATTATGTGAGGTGAATTTTTTCAATTTTGATTTCTGTTACTTATTCCAATATCAGTTTTAGACATTAGATCCATATATTATACCCTTTGATATTCCTTAAGATGTTTTCCAACCACACCTGACTAAAAAATAGCGATATCATACTCAGCGGCAATATGGCACAGCTTTTATTGTTCTTTGTACGTAAAAAATAAAATCCTGCCTGAATTTGATAATCTGTGACAGGTAACTTTGTAATCTGTTCAAAGTTTAAAAAAAGGCCCAAATCACCTTGCTTTATGCATTGTCAAGCTCAATATTACACATTTTTTAAAAGCATTATGAATAAACCAAACCAAAAATGATTTTTAAACAACTCAGTGCATATTTTACTGCTTGAATACATCACAAACATACATTGATAAATTAGGATCATTGTCTAATTAATGACAGATTTGTTGCTGGTTGCTCAAGCAATGCTGATACAGATATTCCTAATCAACAAACTGACGTAGATGGCAATCAACAGCTAGTGAGTAGCAGTCCCCCTACTAACCAATGTTTTATAGGCTAACTTGAAGATGACCCAACACCCTGGGCCAAAGGGCCAACAGACAAAGAGCCCTGCTCAATAGTGTAGAGAGAAGCAGTTTAGGTAAAGGACCCTTTCTCCCTTAAAAATTAGGAATATAGAAGAAATAACCAGGTCCTGGCTTGTTTACAGTGAAAAAATGGACAGTGTAATGTACTTTTGTTGCCCTCTGTTTGAAGACTGAGAAAAAAACACTCAGCTAAATGGGGATGGGTAATACCTGGAAAAATCTTGCAGCCCACTTGAAACTGCATGAGAGGTCTGCTGAACACATCACAACATGGATACCGGGTGCTCTCTATTACAGAAACTACAAACAAGCACAGCTATAAATTAGGTGAACCAAGATCTAATTGCTCTTGAAGTAAACCACTGGAAGGAGATTTTATACTAAGCTGGCATTCCCTGCAGGCCAATCTGCTGCATGTGTTGCCTGGAGAAGACAAAGCAGATCAAAGTCAGATTCTTCATCAACTGTCGACCACATTTGGCTACAGTGACATCACTCACCAAGCAGGACGGGACATGACATAGTGAAGGTCAGGTCTTTTGAAACCATTGAAGGTGGAAGAGGCAGCCACAGTGTAGGCACCCATGTTTTCAAAGACCAGCCAGTCGCCCACCTGCATGTCAGGCAAGTAACACTGCTCAACAATGCGATCAAGACCATCACAAGTTGGGCCCCAGATGCTGCAGGGGTACATGATCTCATCTGGCTTTGGTTTCTTTTAGTAGTAAGAGGTGGGGAGGAGAAAGAGAGAAGACATTTATCTTGGCAATGTGTTTCTTTCTATGACTAATATCTACGATGAGTGCAATTTATAACATTGATTTTCTATCACCTTATACAGTGTTGGTAAATATGTAGAACATTCCAAGGCTGAACAAAAGAAAGATCCATACAATCCATCATTGACATAGTACATCATAGTCCTGCCATTGTTTTTTTCTTTGGCCCCTTCATCTTCCTCTGCGAAGAAAGCATTAATAATTATAGCTGCAAGCAATACTTATGGGCCCTTACACCTTTATGCACATCAGGGCTGATGCAGATAGAAAGTGCCATCATCATAGGGCTTCTGAAGTGTGTGTCAAAACCTATGCTAGACATTCTAGGCCCCTCCAAAACAGCTTCCTGTTTCATGGTGAATATGCATCATCATGATGATGACTTCAGAGTAGGAGCTCTCATCATACATGTTAAATTTAGCAAAGATGTGACTTTACAGACTATGGCTCAAAATGTTGATCGCGAAGGATCAAGCTCTGCCACACGACCTTGGTGAGTCTGTTTGGTGAAAACTCACAATATTCTCAATGAAGCATCAATCAGGTGTCAAATTTGAAGTGGGTATGGTCAACCTGCTATGAGGAGGACATCAAAGTGGACAAGCAGTCATTTCCAGTTTTCATGGGATAGAGCTGTGACTAAGACTGAATATTTCCATGTAGATCTTCAGGCCAAGACTCTTACCAGACATTTAAAGTACAAAGTTCTTCCTGATAGATCAAAAAATATAGCTGGTTTGATTTTTCTCTGCCTCAGATGTTGTTGTCAGCTTTTATCACCAAAAACTCTCTTGACATTTTCGTTGGTGTCTTCTATGTGTTTCTCACCACTTTTTCACCTGGACATATATATCTATATATATAGATATATATATAGATATATAGATATATAGATGTATCAATCTGACTTCTGTTGACTTTCTGTTGTCCATTTTCAACAGGCAAATATTTAGTAATGTTTTCTAAATCAGCTTTTACCATCAGAGCTTGAGTCTTTGCCCATGATGACCTTCTTGGCAATGATGTTGACAACCAGTGTGAAAGCAGAAGCTACATAAAAGCGTCCTGGCTCAGCAATGATCTTAACGCCAGAGTCAGCAGGGAAATACTTGTGCACTGCAGAGTTGATTACATCCATCATCTAGAAAGGGCAAAAGGGGTTGACATGTAAATAAGACTGTTAAAGCTTGTCTTGTGCTAGTACTCACATATTCAATAAACATTTTTAAAAATGTGTAATATGGTGAGTCTTTATATATATATATTTTTTTAATTAACATGGCATCTTTCCTCGTCAAATTTAGTTTCAGCATCATCAGAACCAGGGAAACCACCACCAATGTCCAAGAGATCCATGTTGCAGCCGAGCTCATCCTAGAGGGAACAAGGTTAAGATTTTGTTAACTTTGCTGGAAGAAAACATTCATAAAACAGCTGTATATTAATTTCAGTCACAAACCCCAATTTTGAAAACACAGTGAGCATCAGCGATGGCCTGCATGTAGGCCTTCGGATCAGTACAGCCACTGCCAACATGGAAGCTGACACCGATCACGTTCAGTCCCAGTTCTTTAGCCCGCTCCAGAAGACCTCGACAAGCTTTGAGCGGGGACCCGAACTTCACACTCAGACGACACACTGCCTTTGAGTCATCTGTGGCGATACGCAGCACCAGCCTGGGCATACAAGAGAAACCAAGTTAATGAAAAAGGGCAAACATTCAAAGAAGATTGCAGACAGACAAAAAATAGAATATCAAAGCTTTTGTTTTGTGGATGGTTTCTTACCTAGCTTTGTCATGACAACGGGCCACTTTTATGAGTTCTTCTTCACTATCAAAGGTCATCATCTGGACCCCATGGGCAGACGCATATTTGATGTGAGAAATTTGCTTACAGGGGTTGGCATAGATGATTCTGCTTGGATCCACTCCCAGAGACAGAACCAGCTCAAGCTCTGTCTAAATGGGAACAATTACACCAGTAAAAAAAGCCCAAACTTTTAAAACAATTTCCTCTATGAACATGTTATAAACGCACTTTGCTCGCACAGTCAAATCCAGTGCCTAGGGATGCCAGTGTTGTAACGACTGCCCGACTGTCATTGCACTTGACAGCATAGAAAGGACTGACTTGAGGCAGGGCACTCATCCAGCGCAGGTGTTTCTTAAGAACATCCCCCAAGTCACAGACATAGAAGGCATCTCTATCATCCTGTGGATAATGGGACATATGCATTCAATATTTATATTTGTAATTTTACAATATTGACAATCATTTGTACCATCAAGGACTTGAGAGCCACATGAGAAAATTCCACACAATACCTGTAACCCGACAATGACAGCATCCTGTTTGCACCCATCACTTAATAAATAGGGTTGTTTGTAAGTCTGCTAAAACTAGCACTGGACCCTTACCGTCCTAGATGATTCAATGATCTTCTGCCCAACAGTATCACGGAAAGAGAAACACTCCTCTAGGAAAGGGAACTCAAACGCAGGAGAAGAGGCATTGTTCATGGTCACAAGTCCTTTTGATGTCTTATTTGTAAACTATAAGAGAGAGGCAGAGTCATATTTAAATTACATTTGGCTTTTACAACTATTTATTTTGTGTGACTCAGTAACTTTCTCCCGAATACTTAGTGCAACCAGCACTAGTAAAAATGTACAAAAATCGGGGGGTAGTTATGTCTTATCATTTATGGTTGGTCTGGTTTATTTAGTTGTGGTAATATCCTAAGTTAGAACCTGACATCCCTCTGGAAGCACATACAAATAATTTATTAATAATAAAAGGAATATTGTATATCAATGCATGGAAAACTAAGACCCAACGACACAATATTGTGAAACGTTTAATTTTGTATAAAATAAATGTCACTTACCACTTTCTACAATGTCAGGTGAAAGTTATGAAGGTTAGTTCATCTGTTTCAGAAAAGGTGTGTGGACACAGGAGTTGATATAGACACACTATAACTGAAAGGATGATTCTAAAGTGTAACTTCACAGTGCTGGGGAGGCGAGGCTAAGATAAGACTCACCCTCCCAGTCTCTCTCACGCAAACAAATGCACACATTAATCACTAAAACAAATGCACACACACAAATGACCTAACAACTACTACAGCAACACATATACTGGGAACATAGAGGGCAGGAAACCTCTAAATGGTAAATAATGAATACATATATCATATGATGGAGAGAGGATAGTTTTAATCATCATAAATTTCATTGTACACTGTAACGAATTGCTGTATATTTACGGTGGATTTTCAACAGTATCCTACTGTATTTTATAATAATTGTAAAATAC